TTTTTTTTTACATCTCCCTCAATTTTGAGGATATGATTTTACTTTTATTATACTTAATAGTATTTTTCAAATATGCGCTCTTGTAGAGCCAGTTTTTTTTTTGCGTTAGCCATTATCATTTGAAATAAGGCAATGAAAACTCTTTTTTTGAAAGTAATAATATATTTTATTTATCCCCCACCCCCTCAAAACATATCTTGATTGTTAGCGGCATTATCCTGATAGCATTTTGATTACAGAGTACCTCACCACATAGTAAAAATACCCGTGCTTTGAATTTCTGCTGTCTGGGCAAGCATGATGCCCACTCAGGACATGGCAGCACAGTGTGAACGCTGGGCTCAGTGAGAAGCGATTCTTTTCTGTGAGGGCAAAGCCCGGGCTTCACTTGGCGGCGTGTTTCTTGTAGATCTCCAGGAACTCTGCCACATCCTCAGGGGACCCCAAGATGATTGGCGCCCTCTGGTGGATTTCAGTGGGGACAATGTCCAGTACAGCTTCATTCCCGGTGGTGGCCAGGCCTCCGGCCTTCTCCATGACGTAGGCCATGGGGTTACACTCGTACAGCAGTCTCAGCTGAAAAACAGAGCAGGAGGCAGCGTCCACATCCCAGGAGGCGTTACACAGCAGGAATCTGTTTCAGCAAGGCTGTGCCAGGTTCCAGGAGTTTCCGATGGCGCTTCTATCCTCCCTGTCCTTCTACGACGCTGGGAAAGGGCCTCCCAAGAGCGCACTGAGACCACAGGTCTAATCTACTGCCCATCCAGCTGTAGACCACATGTAACCCAACGCAAACGTGAGACTGACCATCTGGACTTGGGGTCAATGTGACCTTGGGACAGAGCCCTTGGCTCCCTTCTCTGGACCTACTGAGCGATCCTGCGTGCTTTGGATGGCGCGTTGCCTCTTCTAAAAGCATAAAATAATCCACAGTGGTGGCTGGCTGCAGACATCTGGAAAGCAGATGGGCCCCTTCAAGAACCCGCATACTGTTTGCCCCGCTAGGTATGTTCCATTTACGGATCTCCCAGGGCTAGGGGGTTGGGATTTCCTGTCTCAGACATCTTGGCGTTTGCTTTTCAATATTAACTTCTGAATTGTCTGCATTTCCATGCAATTTGTCTACTGAGCAGGGAGTTTTCTGCGGGTGTTTCCTGACTCTGGTTCCACGCAGGCGTGCTGCCCACATTTGCTAAACGGAACTAGAGGAGCTTGGGTACTTGTGTGAGTGACAACTCTCTAAGGCCTTAGAGAAAAGTACCATCAAGCAGATAATCACAGAGGTGGGAAATCAGAGGGAGCCATGGAAGAAAGAGTGATATTTCTAACTATCTTAAGGGGGATCTGAGACCCTGAGCGATGCAGAGTGTTAATGTTGCCCATCTGCTCTGAGTCCACCCAGAGGTGCCTCGAAAGAAAGCCCTGGAAATCTACTTCCCAAAATTCAGCAACTGACATGCCTATGGAGCAGTTCCATTCTGACCTACATGGGGTTGTCAGGAGCTGGAGTCACCTGGAGGCACGTGGGCTGGTAAGGGGATTTACTGTTCCTACTCTGTCTCTCACATCTTATAAAGACAGCAATCTGTCCACTGGGGTAAATGAAGAGAGTGGTACTTTGGAAGCAAGCTCTCTGTCACCCTGGGGAGAAGAGAAGCCATGACACCAAGACCCCAACCCTGTGTGACCTGCTGGGATGGACACGGGCATTGGGCAGTGCCACCAGAGATCATAGTTTACCCAAGCACTCAGTGATTCTTTCTTAGAAAGTTGGCATTTTCCAAACAGCATATGTCAGCTTCCTCGTTATCTCCGTGTGGTGCTTTTTGAAAGCAATTCCAAGAAGCCTCTATTGGGAACACACATGTGCTTTTCTAGCTTGGTAACTGAACTGGATGATCTTGTTTCACTTTAGAATGTAATTCATTTGGCCCGAACTAAACCCTGGGGCCACTAAGCACTGAGTCCACCTGTCCGACATCATTATCTTTGCCTTAGCAATGGAGGGGCTCTTGGGAGGCCATATTTGGTTGACATCTCCTGCCTTTAGCAAGAACATCCTTAAATCTAGAATCAAAAACACCATAGATACTCCGAGACCAACAGTTCCCACAACCTTCCTTTTTCTCCTAAATCAGATCTCCCAGGTTGGAAATGATTTCAATCCATTTCAACTAGCTTTCAAGGACCTTTGGTTACCTTTCCTTTGGGACTCTTCTTGTTGGCAGGGTACAAAAAGATCCCTCCATACACCAGCGTGCGGTGAACATCGGCCACCATGGAACCAACGTACCGGGCAGCGTAGGGAGCTGAATTATCCTGCAAAGTCAAGACCAACAATAATCAGGGCTGCAGACAAGAAAGAGAGCTCTCCCGGAGTCCCTTATACTTATTCCATTCAACAATCACCCACAGGGGATGTGTTTGGCACAGTGTGAAGCAATGTAATAGAAGTCTTGTTTTGAAGAAGCAGAGG